CATGTTCTCTCTCGAGGAATCGAAGCTATCGTCGAGCCCGACCTGCCCTCCCATGTCCGCCTGCAGGGCAGAATCCCCCGCGTCGTCGTGCCCCCCCCCCCCCCAGGAGTGGTTTTAATTGCCGGGCCCCAAAACGGGGTTTTTTCGGGGGGCGCTGCCGCCCCCCCCCCCGTAAGAAAACCGGGAAAAGCTGAAACCGACGCCGCCCGTGGCCATCGCCGCTCCCGCCGCCGCCGCCGCCGCCGCCCCCACCCCGCCCGGCGAAACGTCGGCCGAGTCTCCGCCCCCGCTCCCGTGTCCGCCGAGCGAGCCCGGCCGCCGCTGCATCACCTCGAGGTCAAGCGGGGGGAGCGGCTGCCGCGAGAGCCCGCAGTCTCCTTCTCCGGCAACCGACGCGGCAACAGCGGTCACGACCCCCGAGGACGAGGGCACGCTACAGCTTGCGGACGACACGCCGCGAAGCGCCGTCGTCACGGCCGCCGCCGCCGCCCCCACCCCCACCCCCCCCGCTCCTCTGTCGCCGCTGTTACCGCTGCCGACGAACCGTGGCGGCGGCGGCAGCGACGGCCTAGACGATGATGGCCCTTCCGGCTGCGGCTGCACGGGCGGCGACGCGGCGGTGGAACCCCCGCTGCTACCGTGCCCGTCGGACGCGGTCAGCGGCTGCTCGACGTTCTGGATGTAGTCCGACTGGGGCAGGGGGAGAATGCTCAGGCCGAACGCGGCGAAATTGCCGTCGTCTCGGAACTCGTACCGGAAGTGGACCAGCGCCAGGAAAACGACCCCGATTCGGTCTCGACACTGAAGATGGTCCGGCAGGCGCAACAGGAAAACAATAAACAATATGGTAGAGACCCCAAGGGCATTTGTTCGTTCCCGGAGGGCAGCCGATGCAGCGGGGTAAGGCGGGTACACGAGTAATGGACGAATGCGCTCGGAATGAGAAACGGCAGCGCTTTGCATCACTTAACAACGTTGGAGATGATTGGGTGGGTTGGAGGATGGTTACACGACTAATGAACGAATGCGCTGGGAACGCAGCGCTTTGCTTCAACACCGTTCGAAATGATTATCAGGGGGTGGCGAGAATGTTTGGTTGCTCGGTAGATTTTGACAACGCCGACGGCTCTCGGCTTGCAGGGAAACGGGTGTGCCTGCGATGTGATTTCCCACGGCAAGCAAGCACCCCTGCGAGCGTTGACATGCACATGTATGCGCACAAAACCAAGCTACGTGAGCATCGGACGATCAATTCGCAACAGCAAAGCAACCACCAAATCAACGCGCGCCTACATGCCCCCATACATCCCCCCTCCCCGCTCCTTCCCCATCCCAAATGAAGGGAAACGGAAGTGAACATGCCTGTGTCCTTCGTGGTGCGTACCGTCCACCGTACCGTGCGCCCTTCGTAAAACTTGTGTCGAAATCGTCCCATATCCACTTATGATATATACAGCTGTGCATACACATCAGTCCGGCGCAGATAAAGTTGCTGTCCGACATACAGGTGTGCGTACACACGAGTCTACTATAGCAGCGCAGACCAGACATACCTACCTTCAACACTTTCTTGAACTCGGACTGGTGCCCAGGAGTACGGAAGAGCTGCATCGATAAGTTGTCGAAGAAGGTCTTGGTGATCGTCCGGGTGAATGCACGTCGCCCACACGTCCTGAAATAGGATATCGGCGGGGAAAACAAAACCGGGCGGGGGGGGGGGGGGCGTCTTCATCACACAGGAACATCACCGGGCCACCCCCCGCCGGCTATCTAATCCGCGGCAACGTGCACGAGCGTGCCGATGGGACCGGCGGCGTACGAAGGACGTTCCCAGGTAGAGCCCTCCGAGTGCATTGCGTGCGGTTCCTCGTTCGTCCGCGAGAACTCTTTTAGCCGGCTGTGCAAACAACATGCGAACCTTGCTTGTACGGCGTGCCAAGCTCACCGCACAAGAGAAACGAACACACGCGCTGTAGGCACACCTGAAACATTCAAGGATATGCAAAAAAAACTCAACAAGACTCTGCTGCTGCTACATATACACCCTACCCCCACTCCCACACACACCCCGGCTCCCGCTGGTGCCCTCCTTCGCTGCTGTTCGCCTCCGATACAGTATGCCACCTCTAATGTCATTTTCCCACGACGGCAGCAGCGGCGGCTTTCACAGAAAATGGGGCAGGCTTACCTGGTTATCGGAGGCGTACATCTCGTTCGCCTCTTGCGTGGTCAAGAAGAGGCGGCCGCACACGTCGTTGTGGTGGAAGCTGCTCTGCCCCCGAAGAACAACCCGCATCGACACGGCCGCGAACACCGACGACATCTCCTGGATGTACTGCGGGGTCTCTTGGTGGCCGAGCTCCGCGGGGGGCACCGGCTCGATTGTGTTGCCCGCCTCTGCCGAGCGGGGGGAGAGGCAGGCAGGCGATCCATGGGGTTTAGCGTCTAATTTAGACTCAACAACAAACATCACAGGGGGTACAATATACGGATTTTGCAAAGCAAAGAGCACAAAAACAGGGCCACGGGTCGTCGACGCTTTCAACCACAAGGGGTCGACTTGATGTGGATTCGAGCGTGGTCATTCCGGAAGAAACCCGCAAAAACGGCGATGGTTTCATGGTTGCGGGGGGCGGCACTGGGTCAGCCAAAACCACCGGACCGTTGGAAGCAGAAAATTTTCCTGGCGTAGCGGTGGTTGTTGTTGAGTGTGCGGATCCCAAGGTTCGTGAACATCCTGCACCGCCACGGGGCGCCTTCGTTCATCGTCAGCGGTGATCTGTTTCTTCCTGCCATTCACTTTGGCCCGGGACATAACACCGTTCCGTAAACTTTTGATCACCGCGGACAATAACCGTGGACGGATTTCGGAAGGACACTCCACGACCGCTAGACTCACCAGCCTCTCGTAATAGCTCGTGGAACATGGCGTATATGCTGTAGTCGTTCAGAATTTCAGCGACGTTGATGGACAGCGCCTGGACATTAAAAAAAAAAACAAGCAACAGAATTATTGTGCAACGGCGGTGCCCACTAGGAGCAAAAGGAAAACCCGGCGTCTAGCTAGCCCGGCAGGTGATCCACCGTGCGGCAAGACAAAACAAACGCCACAAAATGAAGACAAAAAACATTGCACTTCGTCGTTTGTTGGTGTATCTTTTATTGTATCATGCCATGGTGAATAACCACCTCCGTGCACGCTCTCAACATTTCAGGTTTCGGTTGCCGCTCGTTGTTCTAGCCACCAACCCAACCCTCGCGTCCCTAGCACGATTCGGCAGGACTCGGTGGCTCCACTTGCGCGAAACTCTCTCATATTGTCGTTGTGCACGCGCACCCCCAAACTACATCCTTCTTCCCATCCCTTTCCGCGTTGCAATTCGCCCCCAACATGGGAGCGCGACCCTAACAAAAATCCGTTCCCGGAGTCCAGCATATATGTGCCACAGAATCGGTGCACATCTAACAGGCTAGAGAAACAAGTTCCTCACCCTCGCCATGCTGACAGTCTCGCGCATGAGGTGGGTGCTCCGCCTGTCCAGGGCGCACAACGCCCAATGCCGGCTGTGTGCGTTGACACATGTTCGGACGGTTTTGGCGCAGTCCCCCCGGCAACAAAACAAGAGCATGGCTCGCGGTTAGTGAGGGTCCAGACCCGTCCGTCACGCTGGGGCAGACATATAAAAACCCGAAGGGGTGTCTTAAACCTCCTCTACGCACAATTTAGGCTTACAACGAAAAATCGTGAGAAACAAGTCAAGACACGCACTTGAAGGGGTCGTCGTCGTCAAAGGTTTATCTACCTTGTCCTTGCTTGGCAGGGGCATTGCAGCTGCTGCTGCTGCTACTGGGTCTTGAGAAAAAGTCCACCGCTGAGACGTGACACTTCGTCGCTCCCCTCAGGCCTTCATTGCACTCACATGACAAGGACCGCCTTTGGACGGTGGACTTCGTGTTCTCTGAACAGCTTCCAGAAGCCCGACACGATGGCTTCGGTAGGATCGACGCTGCCTGACATACAAGAGAGGGCGGGGTGGCACAACGCAGGAGCAGGGGGACTGAGATGATACCGGGTCGGCAACTACTGCTGCTGTCGAACAGCCTCGACCTGCGACACGAGGGACAAACCACCAGATCAACGAAAATTACAACTTCCAAAAAAAGTAGCACTATATAGAGCCGCACAAAATTTCCTGTCAAGGTCGGACGTGTTGAGAAACCGGGGCGGGGCGGTGACTCGTCTCCGCGAGCAGGCAAACAAGTGTGTAGAAAATAGACGTGGTCCCTCGCGAGTGGGCTAGCTCATGAAAGCACAGCAAGCAGTGTCATCGTAAGGGGTGATGCAACATGAAAAAAAAATACAGGCTGCAGGATCCCCACAGCTGACTGCCAGCTGCGGTGTGACACTTCCCAAGCTCAACAGCTCATACAGCCTGACGTACTATTGACTCGAACAGCCCAGCGAACCCCAACGAACCGAAGAGTAATACCACAGCAGTGGGAAATATAGTGGAAATCTTTTGCAAACCGGCTGGACACTGGGTTACCGTATATGACACAAGATAACACACCCCGGTGATAACATTTTGGAGTTTGAAAATATTATCACCGGGTGTGGTATCCTGTGGGGGGGGTGTTATCTTGTGTACCCCGGGTGATAAAGTGCAGCTCGCAGGGGCCCCTAAGGGGGTGTGATAAAACAGGGGGTGTGACAGCGCGTCCGAACACCCACAGCGTGTGTTTGGGGGTGTGATAAATGAGGGGGGGTGATAAAAGGGGGTGTGATAGCACGTCCGAACAGCCACAGCGTGTGCTTTGGGGTGTGATAAATGAGGGGGTGTGATAAATGAGGGGGTGTGATAAAAGGGGGTGCGATAGCCATGCCTGCACGTACACGTGCAGTGTAGGGACCTACCCAAAGGGGCGTGGAAAAACAAAGGGGCTCAACCGAGGTGACGAAACTCCTGAGCACATGACCTGGGCGATAACTCAACCCTCTCATCGCCAAAAAAAGATTGAAACAAAATACGGGCTTGAATCGAGCAAGAAAAAAATAAAAATCGAAGGTACCTCGACCGATACGATGATTGGCGGTGGCCACAGATTCTGCTCTGCCTGCACGTTCATGTTGTTGGGGGTCTCCATGCGGGGTGTTTCCCCGCACACAGCTGACGTGGTTGTGTGTGTGATTGCCCAGGGCAGATGCTGTCACCCCGGTGATAAAGAAGGAGGGGCCCCGTGACTATATGCGGCGTAACTAAAAATATCACTGGGGTGTGTCATCTTATGTACCCCCGGTGATAAATCGATGGTTTGTCAGAAGTGCTAAGGAACAATAAAAGCACACACAGAAAGACTACCCATTCGAGATATACCCACAGTCGAACGGGATGTGGTGGAGTCTTTTCAGTGAGTGGAGGGAAACCGGCTGGGTACTGGACTTATTTCGAGTCTTTTAAGTCTGTACACTGATGATTTATACCAGTGATGCCAGCTGGTGCTAAGTACAAAAACATCTGTATATTTAGGTAACTTACATTTTACAATACATCCCCTGTAGTTCTCTATTGGGTCAACGACAGGGACAATCCCTCCGTTGTGTCGTGTATTGCGCCCAAAACTATCACCGGGGTGTCGTATTCTGTGGGGGGTGTGCTTTCTTATGTAGGTGTGTTATCTTGTGTCATATACGGAATTTTAGTCTATGGAAGCCTAGGTGCTGAAATCTTTAATCGGTCATGCCCGCTGCTTGCATGCTAAAAAAATGCTTCAAGGTGTCAATCGCCTGTACCTCCGTTAGCTCCTGGCGACCTGCCGCCGGAGTCACGCCCCGTAGCCTCAGCGCCTTGTTCCACGGCGATGAGCCATCGCTGTTGCTTATCTTCCGATTTCGACAAGAAGATCTCACCGTCGGGGCCGCCGCCGCCTCCAGCCGCGCCACGCGCCCCAGCTGTAGGGGCGCCGGCGCCGGCGGTAGCGCCGGCGCCGGCGGCGACCGCGTGCGTGTGCTCATCCATCGCCTCCACCCACGTCGACGCCGCCACCTTCCCGGCGCCATTGAAACCCCCGTCGCTCGAGAGCGAGGAGATGCACTTGCCTCTCCGCATGCCCATGCCGCCGCCGCCGCCGCCGCCGCCGCCGCCGCCGCCGCGCCCGTTCTCGCCCCGACCGTCGCCCGCGCCGCCGCCGCCGCCGCCACCCCCGATGCCGCTGTTTGCCATGTGACCCATCGGCATGGGGGCGAAGCTTTCCGCTGCGGAGGAGGAGGAGGCGGGCGCGTTCACCTCGCCTTCGACCGTTGCCGTTGCCGTTGCGACCGAAGGGGTGTTCATGTACTCCCACTGGCCGTTCGGGGTGTCGATGTCGTTCCTGCTAACCTCTCCCGTCCCGCCAAGGCCGCCGACCGCGTGCGCCGCAGGACCGGGGCCGCCGAGGAACGCACCTCGCCACGAGCCGCCCGCCGAGCTGATCGACCCCTGCGCTGCGGAGGCGTTCATCGCCGCCATGCTCCCGCCGTCGCTGAGGCCGCTGCTGCCGCTACCGCCCCCGCCAATGCCTCCTCCGTGGAATTGTAGGGGGTGGGTCGACAGCGGTCGCGCCGAGCTATTATGCAAAGCGCCGTACACACCCTGCTGCTGCTGCTGTTGATGCTGCTGCGGTGGCGCTATGGTTGGGATTCCTGATTGCATGATACGTGGCGAAAGGGCACGAGAACAAGCTTCGAGGTGCCGCTGCTCGAGGGGGGCCAACAGAAATCCTTCCCCGACGCCGCCGCCACCATCGCCGCCGTGGTCACCTCGGGGCGAGCCCTCCCCGTCGAGGGCGGCGGCGTACAGCGGAGAAGGGGAGGTCCCGGCGGCAATCTGCGAAGCAACGGCAGCTAGAGGAGGCACCTCGACAGAGGAAGACGGCTGGCCTGTCCGTGTGCCCATGCTCCCACTGCTGCCTGTGGTGGAGCCATCTATGCCGCCGCCGCCACCGCCGGCGAGAGAGGGATGCGCAGACGACAAAACACCTGCAGACGGGGAGGCGCCAGACGACCCCCTGCCGCTGCTGCCGCTGCGGCTGCTGTTGCCGCTACCGTTAGCATGGCTGCTGCCCGGCTCTTCTTCTGCTCCCACGCTCTTGGCAACGCGTGCACTCCTGCTGGTGTCGTCGGCCCCTCCGCCGTTCTTGCTGCTGCGGCCCACTCTGTCTTCGTCCAGTTTCAAACTTTTCTTGCCTGCCGTCATGCTGGCGACGGGTCGACCTCTGCCCCTGACTTGTGCGATGCACACAAGCTTCAGCCGGCGGCATCGATCGCACGGCAATACTCTGGAGCATTTCACCTTGCTCTTGCGGCAGGAAACGCACGTTCGGCCCTCCCCGCAGGCGCCTGCGCTGCTGTTGCTGCTCGCGGCCTGGTCCCCCTCATCAGACAGCGAGTCTTTCGGCTCCGGCGGGGGGGACGAATAGTTCATGTCGTCCTCCTCCTTGACTCCTCCTCCTTGTCCGCGCGGACGCTTCTTCATCCTCGGCACGGGGGCGTACATGGTGCCGTCGTCGTTGCTCCTGTCATCGCCGCCCTCGCACGGCGCCTCATTGTGTCGCGCTTTATTTCCAGCCATTTCCACTTCGTGACTTGTGTTGCTGCTGTTGCTGGATTCACGGATCCACCTTGCTTTCTTTGTTTCCGGAGGAGGATGCTGCCAGCTCGTCTGTTGGAAAACACACCGCCCGCCGGGCGTGGTGTGCGTTGCCTGTGGGGCGCCGCTCCTTGCTCGCTGTTATTTGCTCACCGACAAAAATGCATGATTCAGAGCACGCGTGCAGCCGTGCGTATTGATTGATGGTTGATGATTTGTTTGCAGGTGTGAGCAGTTGTGTCACTGCTCCCTCTGTGTTTCGTGTCTCACAGACATGATGTGTGGACCGGATTTTTTTTTTTTTGGTCTTCACTGAAATCAGCGCTCACAGCAGCACTGTACACCACCGGGGCGACCGGAAGATTAAGATTTCCTGAAATTGGGGGGGGGGTAGGGGGCTCCACAGACGCAGAGTGAGTGCGGCATGATCGTGCGTGAGTGCGAGACACAGCAGCAGGCGATGGAGCGCTCCGTTTCCTTGGCTAAGAGAAGGAACCTCGTCATTGGCTGGAGGAAGATGGCCCGGAAAAAGGAGATACAAGTGGTCCTACTTGCGGCGCTAATCTCTACCTTGGGCATCGGGCCGGTTGCCGCCAGAATTGTCGTAACAGGTCAGTCAGGGTGGAGCCGAACCCGAGTTTTTCTTTCATGTCTGGACACCCTCCGCAGAAAACACAACAGAGCACCAGGTGCAGCTTTTACCTCGCACGTGACAAACACGACTTTCGGTCCAAGATTGCGCTGGCTTGCCCCCCCCCACGAGTCGCGCGCTATCCAACCAACAAGAGGAAAGTCCTCGGTACTCAGAGGGCTTTGTGTCCTGGCCTACGATATGTTGCTGCCGCCCCGTTTCAAAACTAAACTTGAGGAGTAGCCTTGGCAGCTGCCCTGTTCTCACGAGAACCCGCTCTCCCGCAAACAGCAACAGCAGCAACAAGAGTTGGTTCATCCATGCCCAGAGCTTCTTTTTGAGGTTCACTCATGCAGTGCTGCCATTGATCCTTCCACACCCCTTGCGAACGAATCGTGGATGATTTCCTTTGGTCGTTGAATACAATGCGGGAGAGGCGGTAGGTGTCCTCTCTGACGTGTCCCTCACGGCTGCTGCTGAGTTTCGCCGCGGACGTTGCGGATTGCTGGATTGCTGGCGCGTTGCACGTTTTTCTTCGCTGCGCAGCGAGCTGGCTGCTCTCACGTGTTGCAATGGGCGTTGATTCGAAGTCTGGTAGACGGCAGGTCCTACGTGCTGACCTGGTTGACAGGGGTGACCCGCGACGTTCTGGAAAGTAAACAGCTACCTGTAGATGGATAGCTACCTGTAGATGTATGTTAGCAGTGTAGAAAGCGGATGCCGGACCGAAGGAGGGGTTCGAATGTCCGCCGCGGCCACCTGGGGCTTCACCCAAGGTGCACAGGGGGGTTAGATAACGCCCCGCATACCTAGAATGGCCCAGAGGATGCATGTACTTGTAGCAGAGTGATTGATCTCCATAGCCGCTTGTCGTGTGTTGTTTGATTGAATGAGGTGTTGATTTTTTTAGATGATGTCATCGCCTGCTCGGAAGAATAGAAAAAACGTATCATCTGCACCTTCCCAACATAACATACATGAGACACACAAGACAGCTACCAAACTGTCTTGTTGAGCCTGTTACCCGCAGGGGAGATGTCCCTATATGCTGTCTGGGAAATCGTAGACATACAGGTACTTTCTGACGCTATGAATCCATTGCTAATCTGTCTCAGACTCTTTTCTATGATAGAGATGGTTTCGTTGTGTCATATTAAGAAAAAATATATATGTATATAACAGTGGGTATATCTCGAATGGGTAGTCTTTCTGTGTGTGTTTTTATTATTCCTTAATATATGTAACAGTTATATCATTTGTGTTCGGCGTAACTTTCGAGTATTTCGCATTTCCAGCGGGCCGCTCTCCGTTCAAAGATCGGTTTTCTCGAGCCCTGACAGACCAGCATTTCTCCCATCATATTTTACTTGGATTTAGAGTTCTGTCTTTCCGCTTCTGGGCATGTTCGGGGCATGTTCGTTTGACTTGGATTTAGAGTTCTGTCTTTCCGCTTCTGGGCATGTTCGGGGCATGTTCGGCGGCATGTTTCCGCTCCGCCGCCGCTCCGCCGTTTCTCGATCACGTGTGGAGCACTCTGTCTGCTCTCTGGGCATGTTCGGGGCATGTTCGTTTCACTTGGATTTAGAGTTCTGTCTTTCCGCTTCTGGGCATGTTCGGGGCATGTTCGTTTCACTTGGATTTAGAGTTCTGTCTTTCCGCTTCTGGGCATGTTCGGGGCATGTTCGGCGGCATGTTTCCGCTCCGCCGCCGCTCCGCCGTTTCTCGATCACGTGTGGAGCACTCTGTCTGCTCTCGGGTTTCTCTTCGCTCTCCGTCTGCCTCATTCCCTCTGCCGACCAGCACTCTGTCTGCTCTCGGTTCGTTCTCTTCGCTCTCCGTCTGTCTGCAGCTCATTTCTGCATGCCCACAGCATTCTGTCTGCTTTCGGTTCGTTCTCTATGCGAGTATTTCGCATTTCCAGCGGGCCGCTCTCCGTTCAAAGATCGGTTTTCTCGAGCCCTGACAGACCAGCATTTCTCCCATCATATTTCACTTGGATTTCGAGTTCTGTCTTTCCGCTTCTGGGCATGTTCGGGGCATGTTCGTTTGACTTGGATTTAGAGTTCTGTCTTTCCGCTTCTGGGCATGTTCGGGGCATGTTCGGCGGCATGTTTCCGCTCCGCCGCCGCTCCGCCGTTTCTCGATCACGGAGCACTCTGTCTGCTCTCGGGTTTCTCTTCCTCATTCCCTCTGCAGACCAGCACTCTGCCTGCTCTCGGTTCGTTCTCTTCGCTCTCCGTCTGTCTGCAGCTCATTTCTGCATGCCCAGCATTCTGTCTGCTTTCGGTTCGTTCTCTATGTGTGCTCGCATCCGATAAAGGAATAAAGGAACGAACGATTTCTTTGAAGTCTCTTCGCCTCGGAACACAAATATACATTTCTCCCATCATATTTCACTTGGATTTAGAGTTCTGTCTTTCCGCTTCTGGGCATGTTCGGCGGCATGTTTCCGCTCCGCCGCCGCTGCGCCGTTTGTCGATCACGTGTGGAGCACTCTGTCTGCTCTCGGGTTTCTCTTCGCTCTCCGTCTGTCTCATTCCCTCTGCAGACAGCACAGAGCGCCCGTAACGGTGACTCGGGAAGACCACGGGTTGTTCTCTGCCAGTTACGAGCCTCTCGGTTATCCCTTGCTGTTTTTCTCTGGCACATCAGGGTGGTCAAAGGGAACGTGGCTACGCGACGAAAGACGCGTCGCCGGCGAAACCGTCGGACCATCCGGTCACAAAGTTCCTATCGCTCATTACGTGCGACAAAGAGTACTTTCCGAGCCCACTTTCCACCTGTTTATTTAGTAGAGTTACGCAGGAGTACCTCTGCGACATGTACTCACGTCAAGAAGAACAAAGCCTCCAATACCTGTCCACAGCTGAAGGCTAGAAACGTGCCACCACGTACAAAACTTTAGAGGACGCGCCCCAGGAAGCTCAGATAGGTAAAACGCTCCCGAAAACCTTTCACGGGCATCCAGCCAAAATGAAAGCAAACACAACCGACGCCTTAGCTATTGTATCACGTATAAGGGACGCCCTAGTGCCATGGTCACCATGACATGCAATGGTAACTGGGAAGCAATTCAAGCTAATCTGTTACCCGGTCAAACAGCGTACGACAGGCCAGACTTATGCGACCGTGTCTTCAAAATTAAAATGGCTGAACTCATGAAAGACCTCAGGAGTGGCAAGATTTTTGGACCGATTGACTTTGAGATGAGCTGCGTACAGTTCCAGAAGAGGGGCATGCCCCATATGCATTTAGTAGTGCGCTTTGAGGGACCTTTGCCCGATCAGATGGGAGAAATGGACGAATGGTGTTGGGCGGAAGTGCCCCCGCCAGAGCTCAACAATGGTAGATCAAGAGATCAAGTGCTGAACCTTATGGTACATAAACAGTGTGTGTGGCAGTCACAACCCCACATCACCGTGCATGAAGGAAGATCGAAAACGGCCTGGAGTTAAGGTGTGCGGCAAAAACTATCCCCAACCATGGCGTGACGTAGCCGCTGTGGGCAAGACCGGTAGAGCCGAGTACCGTCGCAGAGATACCGGAGAGAGATTTCCCTACACACACAGAGTGAACGGCAAATATGTCGAATCATTCGCCACCAATCAATGGATAGCACCGTACAACATTTGGCTCCTTTCCAAATACCACTGTCACATGTGTTTTGACGTCTGCACCGCCAACGCCATAGTCAAGTATATTTACAAGTACATCACGAAAGGCGCCGACTTTATCAAGGCCAAGATTGTTTGTGGTGGTGACGAAATTGAAGCTTACCGATCGGCAAGATACGTGTCAGCGGCATAACATACAGATAGATACACAAGACGGCCACCAAACTATCTTGTTGACCCACGGGGGAGATTATCACTGTGTGCTGTTCGGGAAATCGTGAAAAAACAGAATTGTTGCTGTCTCAATGGCTTCATTGCTATTTAGTCTATCTTAGACTTTTCTTCGATAGAGATGGGCTTGTTGGGTCATTTGCTGCTGATGAGGCTGAGTCTTCGGCCGAGTCGTACGTCGTGATTATTTCGGAGATTGTTTTTTGCTCTCGGTCGACGGGGGGTGGTCTGCAAGAGAAAAGTTATCTGGATCCAAGCGACCTTCTTACGGTTCCTCGAGACAGATTTGTTTCTCAGGGGAAAAAAATGGCCGATTCAAGTCTTTGTGGGTCACAACATGCTTCAGTTCACGGTTTTGGCTCGTGTGCGACCAGCAAGACACCGAGTGCCCTGTTTTTGGGTCGCCTCATGTATATAATCGCACGCTACTGACTGCAGTTTGTGGATGTCGTCGGCCAAAGGCCTCTCTCTGGCATGCGTTGTGGACTGATCACGCTCGGAGCAAC